TTTGTATCTGTGAGTGTGTGTGTGTGTGTGTGTGTGTGTGTGTGTGTGTGTGTGTGTGTAATGTATGACTTGGTGTGTGAGTGCCTGTCACAGAGTGGCAGAGGAAAATTTCGGGGGTTTGTTTCTCTCTTCCCATTGTGGAGAGCAAACTCGGGGCGCCCTGGGTCTCTTTCTTCCCTCTGGGTTTGGTTTTGTCTAGGAATGGTTGACTAGTCACAGGGCCATGTGATACCATCCCCATTTCTTGAGCTCTAGTGCAGTAAGCAAGCCACAAGAAGCCAGCTGGGTGACAGACACCTGATTCCCCAGAGAACAGTGTCTTGCGCCAGGCGAAGGTCCTGTGAGGAAGGAAACAGCCATGAAGGGGCTGTGATGCCCCTCACCTGGAAGTCCCCAAGACTAGAAGCGATCAGCTACATTTAATATGAAGGAGTATGTCTAAGATGCCTCCTCTCACTAAAAGTAGGGGGAGTGGAAGACAAGGCCAGCCGTGGACAGAGGGTATTGGGGGCCATGTTGCCCATACACTCTCTATCCAACACCTACAGACGAGGCAAATCTACTCAGGAAGATCATGGCATGTGGAGATGTTTCTGTCTTCTATTTCCTTGATTTCAGGGAAAGAGGTAACCTGGCATAAAGGCTAGCATAGTGATTAGCTTGAAATCTCACCATCATTCTAGCTGGTGACCTGTCAACCATTAGTTACCAATGGGGACCACCCACTGAGAGACCTAAGAATCCATACAGCCCTTCATCCTACAGTAGGAGGTGACAAGCAGCCCATGTTTTTATTTTTGTTTGGGGTTTCCTTTGTGAGATGGGGGGGAGGGGGTCTCACTATGTGCCCTGGGCTGTCCTATTCTGGAATTATATGACCCAGGGTGACCTCAAACTCCAGATTGATCACCCCATTGCAGACTCTAAACTACTGGGATTCCAGGTGTGTTCTACTCCTCCTGGCTCATGTCATTCATGATTTCAGATATAATGATATGTGCACTGATAGTCTCATGTCAACAGGAACATTTTGATACTAATAGGTGGCTGTTGGTTATCAGTGCCAGAGACAGCTCAGCTGATGGTAAAGGGCCCTTCTCCTTACAGAAGGAGGCAGTGTGGGCTGGAGACCAGAGTCACAGGCTACCCAGGTAGGGAGAACTGGGTGGGGGTCCTTCAGAGCAGCCCATGGGCCTGGAAAAGGACCAGGGGCTGTCCCCAGATCTACCACATCATATCATATCACACCACACCACACAGGCTTAGCTGTGTAATCACTCACCAACCACACCCCAAATGCCTTCCATATTAGGCCATCAGCACCTTTCTACCAGGAAAAGCTGGGTCCCACGACTGTGTCCATCCCCTCCTGCCAAGGGCTGGACTCCAGCTTGGTTTTCTTGACATTGTGACCAGCCTGAGACCCCCTTCCCCCCCCCCCTAGGTAGCACAGCTCCTCTTGGAGTTTCTGTTCTCTGTTGTAAGGAACATGAAGTTCCCATAGGTACCAACAGAGTGCTGGTGACCCAGAAGGTCCTGAATCTCCATGGAGCCCAAGGTGTTAGCATGACCCAGTTTCCAAGCCCACAACTGCCTATGCTTCTTTTAAAATAATGTTTAAAAAGACAACAACCATGAAGCTGGTAAGTACACTTTAAATGTCTAATAAGGTAGCCTTTAAGTTTGAAGTGGTTTTAAAGACAAATGAAGAGAATTCCAAATTTTTGGGAAAGGCAAGCTGCTGTGGGTATGGATTTTGTATATTTTTAATTTAAAAATGGAGGATAGTAAACATAAACAGTAACTTAAAATAAATGAAAATGAAACATAATAAAAACATTTCTCAATTACATGTATCAGACACAGGACAATTTTAAGGGAAGAAGCAAAAAAAAAAAACCAAAACCCAAAAATGATAATTATTTCAGAACAGACTAACTACTTAGACAAAAAAAAAAAAAAAGACTTTACAAACCATTCAAGGAGTTGGAGACATGCTAGTCAGCAAGGTGCCTTCTCAACAAGCATGAGGAGCTGAGTTCAGGTCTTCCATATCCACGTAAGCTGGACAGTTGTGAGCACCTGGAACTCCAGTGGTGGGAAGGCAGAGACAAAGACCCCTGGAGCTGGCTGTGAGGCCAGCCAGTCGGGGAGCTTCGGGTTCAGTGAGAGACCCTGTCGTCAAAGGTAAAGAGAGCAATGGCGGAAGACACACAGTGTCAGCCTCTGCTCTGTGCACACACATGCACACACTTGTACACACACACACACACACACACACTACACATAAAAATGTGAAAAGATCATGATGAATTGAGTGTGAGGGGCTTATTCCTATTATCCCAGCCCTTATGAGACAGAAGCAGGAGGATCAAAAGTTCAAGGGACTCCTGAACAATGTAGTGAGTTTGAGACCAGCCTGGACTATAAGAGACCCTATTTCAATAGCAAAACAGTAACAAAGTCATAATAAACGAGGTGCGGTGATGCATGCCCATAATCCGAGCACTTGGGAGAGTCAGACAAGAGGTCAAGATCAGTAAGGGCTCCGGGGTGAGACTGTCTCAAACAAACAAAATGGATAAAGCCACTAGCTAGTTCTCTGTGACTGAGATCATCACTGCTTATGTGACTGTTTACACAAGCTGCGCTTCGCTGGTGACTCATGTGCTAACCCTCCGCCTCTGTCCGCCAGTGATTTGCAATTTGTGGAGGCCCCAGTTTGGGGAAGCCCAGGCTGTCTGGGTGGACGTGATTATAAACAGGAATAGACCAAGGCCCCTCTGGTGCCAGAAGGGACAGTTGCTCATTCTAGTCCCAGCTCTGGAGCCTGGAGAAATGAGGACCCAGGAAACACTCCCAGCCGTCACAATCAAGCTTCCCTTAGGCTGGACCACAGGCAAAAGATGATGGCACTTGTGACTCGGGCTGTGGTGGAGACGGCACAGATATCAAGGGCTTTTCTCTGTAGATGTGCCCTTGGGGATTTAGGATGGAGTAGGGAGTGGTCAGGACTCAGCTGACCCTCATGCGGAGCAGGGTGGGGCACATTGTTCAGGGTGAATGCAGTTAAGCTCCAGTGGCTGTTCCAGCTGTGTGCTAGTCTTCCCAGGACGGAGTGGGTCGTGTCCTATACAGAGTTGTTTCAGCTCCACTGTGGCTCTACTGGCTGGAGGGAGAGAGCAGATTGGGCCCTAACTATATGGGAGGCCCAACCCCATCCTATGAGCCCGGGAAGGGTCTCAGTGGACAGCGTGGGGTTTCCCTCTGTGCACAGACCTTCCTGTTGCTGCCGGTCATATAGTCAGTGTCTAGCAAACTCCTGGACCAAGATGTGGCTGCCAGCCTCCTGTAGGAGGACCCAGGGCTCAGAACTTGCCACAAGCTCTCTCAGGGCCACAGCTGGCTACATATTCCTAAACACAAAGGCTCAAGCAGACTGGATGGTTGAAGGGATGCTAGGGTCCTGGAGATGGGCAGGGACGTGTGGCGTTGCACGATTTTATTTGCCCAAATGTATGGGTGACACTTCCTTTAGAACAGAGATGGTTCCCCAGGCCCTAAGCATGTTTGTGAGAGACTCCATAAGGAGTGGTGAGTCTGCTCCTTTACCTAGAGATGAGAGCTCTGCCCAGCCAACTCAAACCAAGTCAAGGGTGCCAGATGAGGTTGTAGGGCACATTGCCTTGGCCTGGTCCCTAATGGCCATACTTTGGAAATATCAGTGGTATGAGGACAGAAGCCACTGTGTCATGGAGAAAGGCAATGCAGTTCTTTTTTTCTTTCTTTTTTTTTGTGGGGGGGTGGGGTGGGGGGTGGGTTCGAGACAAGGTTTCTCTGTGTAGTTTTGGTACCTGTTCTGGCTCTCGCTCTGTAGACCAGGCTGGCCTTGAACTCATAGAAATCCGCCTGGCTCTGCCTCCCGAGTGCTGGGATTAAAGACGTGTGCCACCGCTGCCCGGCTAGCAATGCAGTTCTTATTTATGAGAGCTAGGTCCATGTATATCCCCTTGCAAAACCTACTGACAGCCCCATGACTCTTCGAACAGCAGGGGGATGTCTAATCCTTGTGTCCTCCCTTGTCCTGAGTGCAGAATTGGTGGTGATGTGAGCAAGGGAAAAATCCAATGGTGATTTGAGCAATTGGACACTGGGATATGTTCCTTATAGGAACCCAGGAGACCCGTCAGATACTAGATACTAACTACGTTTATGGCCCTGCCTGTGTACACACTTGCTAGTACACACATATAAAGAATGGTTAAAGGAAAATATGTGTGAGTTTAGGCTGCAGTTATTGGACATGAATGAAAACCATACACCCCAGCCAAGTGTACCTAGAATCCCATCATTCTGAAGGCAAAAGCAGGAGGATCAGGAGTTCAAAGCCAGCTTCAGCTATCTAATGAGTTAAAGGTCAGCCTAGGCTATATGAAACTCTGTCTCAAAAAACTAAAATGCAATCCAAAACAACACTTATAAAAATAGCTCTATGTAAAGCCATAGTTCAATTCCTCACAATGCTGTGGCATTAGTTTATAATCAGAAAATATGAATCTGATGTAAACTGAAGTTGAAATGGTTATATTAGTGAGATGGACATTTTCTAGCTCCCATTATTCAAATTTTACCCTGAGCTGGATCTACAGCCAGGTGGAGCTAGTCTAACCTGTACCTATGACCAAATGTGACCCAGGAGACACACTTATATTCTAAGGCCACTCCTCCCTGACTACAAAGAACCTACCATTGCCAGCACAGGGCTGAAGATGGGGGGCTGCTGCAGAAGCCAGGCTATGCCCAGCTCCCACCGGTGCCCCTCTGGGGGAGGCTGGAGGCAGCCCTACGACAGAGCCAGGCTGGGCATGGGGACCTGTGGGTGGAGATGGATCCGGGAATGCATTTGTGA